GCGGCTGCGGCTGCTGCCGCTGCTGCTGCTGCGCTGCTGCTGCTGCTGCTGCTGCTGCTGCGGCTGCTGCTGCTGCTGCAGTCGCTGCTGAGCGCGCGGGCCAGTGTGAAGAGTGTAGAGACCGGAGCCCGGCTCAGCAGCAAAAGTGGCGAGGGGCTGGTAAGAGTCCCCGTCAACACACACCGCAGTCTCTCCAGAAGGCTCAAACCACACACCCACGTGCTGACTCACGAGGGGTCGCACGCCCACCAAGTTCCGGGAGAACGAGGGGACGTGAAACCCAGTGAGAGACCCAGAAGGAGCAGCCGGACACGGCAAGGTGGTAGTGTGACGCGCAGTGACTGGTCCCGAAGTGGGATCAGCCAGCGCCACAGAAACAGGCGCAGGAAGAGGCGTAAGTGTCGTGCTGTCACGAAAGAAGCAGTGAGAGGCTCCAGAGTCCAGCGTGAACGACAGCGAACCGTCCTCTGAGGTAGCCGCTGGACTAGAGTCTACACAAGAACCTACACTAGCAACAGGCAACTGAGCAAGGCTAGCACCTAAGCTAACAACACCAGAGTAAGCAGAGTCAGAAACACTAGAGTCAACAACAGCATACATAGCATGGGGAGTACCAATCAGATCAACTAACTGCTCAGCAGACATGCCCCAGAGAGCGGAGCCGTAGCGCTGAACAAGAGGCAGCCAGTCAGGGGCAGGAGCACCAACCCCGTAGACCAAACGAACCGTGTCAGTGAGCTGAGCAAAGCACTGACCAGGGGGGTGAAACCGGCCACAAGGGTGGCCACGACGAGTGCCTGTCAGAACCTGGTAGGTGCAGGGAGTGTAAGCAGCACCGCGCTGGGTCTGACGCAGCCCCGACCCTGGAGCCAGCTGCTGCCGCTGCTGCTGCTGAGGCTGCTGGGAGGAGAGGGGCTGCTGGTGCTGCAGAAGCTGCTGCTGACGCTGAGCCTGGTACCACGCCGCTGCTCCACCAACCGGGGCAGGAAGTACAGGAGGCGACTGACGAACTCGGGCGTCGCCACCACTAGCAGGCGCAGTGGAGTCACCAGTCACTGCACGAGGCGCCTCTCCAGGCCCTGAACCTCCACCGCCGCCAGGCGCAACGCCACCTCCACTACCTCCGCCTCCACCTCCACTACCACCACCAGAACCGCCTTTCTTGCCACTCCTACCGCGGGTGCGCGACGCAGTCGTAACAGCAGCTGCAGTCGCGTCAGTAGCGGCAGTGGCAAGTGAGGCAGTAAAGGTGGGTAACTGCGGGACTGTGCACCCGTGGAAGAGTGGGGGGGGCACAGCACCAGAGGCAGCGGCTACCGAGCGAAGGTTGCTCTCGACGTCCTTGAGTGCAGACTCAAGGACATCGACGGTGAGCTCACTAGGGTGCTTCAGCAGAAGCGCGTCGCGAACGGAGGCAAGGCGGTCAGGGAGGCTAGTGGCGATGAAATAGATAGTAATCGCCATAGGGGGAGGAAGCAGTGCAAGCTGTGCCTCAGTGCAAGCAGCGCGGTAACTAGCGTCGAGCGAGCGGAGGTGAGCGATCAAGTCAGCAGAGCGCTCAAACGAGGCGAGATCAGGAAACAGGAACGGGAGGAAAAGACGGCCAAGAGAGACAGTAGCGGGAGTAGAGTAGCGGGCCTTAATCGCAGTGAGGTACGCAGCAGCGGTGCGAACCTGAGTGAAGTGGACCTCCTCTGACTCAGGGAGGAGGCTGCTGAGTGCGATGCAGGCCGCAGCGTCACGCGACGTCCAAGCCGTCCTGTCAGCGCGCTGACGGGCAAAGCGAGCCGTAGCAGCATCGTCAGGGGCAGGACCTAAAGCGGCAGGCTCGGGGGGCTCGGGGAGGTCACCAGTAGCGTGCGACCAGAGGGTCTCGCCCCCCTGGACTTGACTCTCTAACAGACGGCGAGCGCGAAGAAGCCAGACGGAAAAATCAATAGGTCTACCGTCAGCGTCGAAACGAAGAACTCGCGGAGTCGCCATAGCGAGAACGAACGCGAACGAGCAGGCGAGTAACAGCAGGAGGTAAGAGGCAAATTAGGGTTCAGGTGGGGGGACTTAGTCGCAGCGGAAGAACGGGCCAGGGCGTAGGGTCGACGGGACGGGGGAAAGGGCGGGCGCGATGCGACGGGGCAGGGCGACGCGACGGGGCAGGGCGACGCGACGGAGCAGAGGCGACGGGACGGGGAAGGGCGACGCGACGGGGCAGGGCGACGCGACGGGGCAGGGCGACGGGACGGGGAAGGGCGACGGGACGGGGCAGGGCGACGGGACGGGGCAGCGCGACGCGACGGGGGGAAAAGGGCGCGACTCGACTGGGGGGAAAGGGCGCGACGCGACGGGGGGAAAGGGACGCGACGAGGGGGAAAGGGCGGGCAGGACGCGACGCTAGGAGTGGCGCTAGGCGCGGCACTACGCGCGGTAACAACGGAACCGGAACGAATGAGAGCTAGGATCAGGCTCGGGAGGCTCGAACGGAGATTGGAGGAACGGGATCCCACAGGATCCTAACCTAACTGATACCATGTCAGAATGAAGAATGGATGGTGCATTGATGTTGGTTGGGGTACATATAGCTAACCCTAAGTTTTGTACCCCCTAAGACAAACCTCACTATAGGCTACAACATTTGACACCAAAGTGGGTCCAACTTCCGGTCATCCGCGGATGACCGGAAGCTTGACATTAGCCAGGAACGTACCCTTAGGAAAAATTGATTTTACATTTTGCCAACATCCAGGGCTGTACACCAGGACGTGGGGGAGGGGAGGGGGGGGGGGGGGGGGGGGGGTGGGTGTGGCTAAAGACATGTAGCTTATGTGTTCCCACACATATATCACTGTTTTTGGTAGCACGCACTTTGTTTTTAGGTGTATATAACATCCAAATAAACTACGCGACAGATGCGGGGGGTGTGGTGACAGCTGTGTGCCTGCTGTCCAATTCGGCCCGCACCAGGATCAGAACAAACCGGGAAATGACCAAGCGATGTCGAGTCGACGTGTCGCTGTACGAGTAGCAGTGAAAATCCAAGCTGGATCATCCGAGCTAGCAGACTCTAGCGCCACCTTGTATGGTGTGCTGTACTAGCATGGTTGACTGTGGCGACTCCAGCAAATACAAGAATGACCCTTGGCCTAGGTGTGCTGGTTGGTTTTGGTGTTTGGTTGGTTTGACTTGTCGCTCGAAGGGTGTTCTGGTGGTGTATGAGCTGGTTTGGTTGGGCTGTCTTGTCGGTACACACACCTCCGAGTGGTTCCCCTCGGTTCGGATCACGCCTTTCTAGGTCCCCGCTCCCCCCTCGTTTTTATGCAGTTATTTACCGCCAAAATATTCTGGTCTGAGCAGGGAAAGCTAAGAGTACAAGTCGAGATGCAGCAAAAAATCAGCTGGAAAACTCCATGAATGTGCCCGTTTCCCGAACGACCTTCCCCGATTGGATCCATCTGCTTCCTCAGGCTGGAGGAGCACTTTTGACACACAGCAGTAAGGACGTGGTGCGGAACGGGTCCAGACCCGGTGCACCGAGGCGTCCCGGGGCGTGCCGGGGCGCCCCAGCTCGCCCCATGGTTCGTGTCTCTGCCCAGGGTGAATTTCAGGTATCCTTCCAAGAGCTGAGCTCGAACCTTCGACCAGCAATGGGCGAAGGCAAAAGACTTGGATGAAAATTTCGGCCAAGAATATTTACACGGTCAATTTTCGTCAAACTACTCGCAAAATAATCTCGCAATTGATCCCTCCCCAAGGAGAAGTCGCAATCAACAGACAATTTCGTCTAGATTCTCACGCAACAATTGATCTAGTAACCACAATTTCGAGCGTTCGCAAGCCTTTCGAGCATGCCGGGGCGCCCCAGAGCACGCCCCGAGGCGTGCTGGCACGCGTCAGTGCATCGCCTCGTCCCGGCACGCCCCGGGACGAGTCGATGCACCGGGTTCCCGTGTGCACGGAAGCTTCGAAACCCGGTGCACCGCGGTGCTTCGGGGCGTGCCAAGGCGTTCTGCACTACGTCCTAATGCCTGGAACCAAAAAGGCTTAGCTAGAGGCCCAGTCGAGCCGCCCATCAGTCGCCACAGGCCCAGTCGAACATTTCCCGAACCAGCAGCTCAATTTCAGGTGAAGAAAACAAATGGTAGATTTGTAAGGGAGGTTGCTAAAAACGTATGGTCCCGCTAGTGATTCCGTGTTGAGGCCGTTTCTGGCGCTATTGAGGCACTTTTACTTTCAACGAAGACCTGTTCGAGCGTAGTAGAAGGTAGCGAGAGAGGGCGTTCGCGATTTTCACCTAGCAGGAACCTATCGTCCGCACCAAATGAGTGTTTTGACAATGAAGTCGGGAAACGGAAAGTTCGCGGTTGTGCTTCTGCTACTTCTGGCTGTTCACGCAATGTCGGCTCCGCTTGAAGAAGCCGCTCCTGTCCAAACTCTGTCGCAGTATGAAATCTTCTTGCAAAAGACCCAGGAAGTTCCGGAAGACCAGAGGCGGCAGCATGCAGAGCGCATTCTGAGAGCGGAACGCAGCGAAATGGGAGGCAGCGGCCAGCGCAAGGGGCGCGTTCTGCTAGACACAGGAGCGAGGCTCGGGCTGTCCGCGCCGCCGCTCAGCTCAGGGCCGAGCATGGCGGCGGTGAACATGTCGTTCTACCGCTGGGAGAGCGTCACGCCACCGTCCGTCGTCGACTGGAGCAAAACCGTCGCCATCACGCCCATCCAGACGCAATTCGTGGTGCGTACTCCTCCCTCGCCTCCTCGCTCCGAATCGTCTGGTTGCGTCACTGCTAGTAGTTCTATGTATGCTCAGCGGCCCCATCCGCCCCCAGGATAGCACTCGGCTCGCTTCTTGAATCAACCAGGTGTGTTACTTGGTTAGTTCCGGCTCGACTCGTCGCGGTATGAATATTTGGCTGTTCCTGGTTCAAATCCGCCGCTTCCTTCCTCCTCACCACCCTCTGCAGTGCTCAAGCTGCTGGGCGATCGCAGCTGTCGATTCCATCGCCATAATGTGGGCGATCGCCAACAACGGCATTGGGACGAATCTGTCGCCGCAGCAGGTGTGCGACTGCGCGACGAAGCAGTGCTGCCAGGGCGGGTGGCCCGAGTGGGCCTTCTCCTACGTGCTCTTCAACGGCGGCATCACCTCCAACGCCAGCTACCCCTACACCGCCTTAGATTCCGCCACGTGTCTGCTCGACACAACCATGCCGTCCGTGGCGCAGATCACGGGGTGGGAGCTGGTGCCGGCATTCAACGCCATGGCGCTCATGAAGGCCGTCAGCATGCAGCCCGTCGTCGCCTTCATCAGCGCCTCCGCCCCCGATTTCACCGTACGTCCCGTTGCCGCAACCCGCGCTTCGCCGCTCACACAGTTGACCGTTTCCTCGAGTCTCAAAGGGTTTTCCTCGCGCACACCGTTTCTCCGGTTTCCGGCGCTTCTCCCTTCTCATATTTTCCCCATTCCCCGCACTTCCTGACCGTTTCGCAGCTCACGCTGCTTCCCGATTTCCGACGTGTCTTTGCTCACGTCATAGCCTCCCAGCGTTTCCCGCTCACACAGGTTCCCGAGTCCCCGCGTTTCCCGTGCCTACGTGCAGGCGTACTCAAGCCCCTACGTGCTCAACATTTACAACGGGCTGTGCACAACGGACGTGAACCACGCGGTGGTGGTGGTGGGCTTTAACTACACGGGGCCGGACCTCAAAGGCAGCTACTGGATTATCAAGAACTCGTGGCTCCCCACGTGGGGCGACCGCGGTTACATGTACCTCGCCATGACGCCCGACGTGCGCGGGAAATGCGGCATCCTATCGTACGTCCCAAGTCTCCACGTCTCCACGCCTCCACGCCTCCCCGCCGACATGCCGTCATCTGTCTAAGTCGCACCTAGGAAGCTCCCGCTGCGTTGCGTTGCGTTTGCGTCGCGCCTACGAGGCTCCTGTTGCGTTGCGTTCCGTCGCGCCTAGGGGGGCGCCTATGAGTCACCCCTTGCATTGCGTTCCGTCGCGTCTGAGACACACCTCATGCGTTGCGTTCCGTCCCGCCTAGGACGCTCCCAATCCCTTTAAACGACTCTCTTCCCCCTTCCCGCCTGCCAGCTTGAGAAGTCATGTCCCACTAATCTACCAATGCTCCTTCTCACCATCCCCTGTTTTCCGCGCAGAACCCCCGCCATGTACCCCGTCTACTTCCCATCCGGGATGCAGCCAGCGCGCTTTGCGTCCGACAGGCGCGGCAAGTGGAATATAAAGAAGGTGGACGACCTCTCGTCGTCGCTCTTCTCTTCCACCCTCTCCCTTTCGACCACAACGACGACGACGACTACCACCACCACCACGACTACTTCATCAACTGACTTCGCCATCGCAGCTATCACGGATCCGACGATCTCCGACTCTTCCTCGCTGCTCACTGGTTCAACCACTGATTCGTCTGCGATCAAGACGACCACGCTGAGTACGACGTGCACGGGGATGATCAATCCGTGCGGCGGGGGCATTTGTTACATGAGCGGTGGGGTTCCGCGATGCAACTGCACCGCGCTAGCGAATTTTGTTGAGGTGCTGGGATTGCCCACGTCCAAATGCGTGCCGCGAAGTCCCTGCACGAGGGCTCCTGTGAATCCCTGCGGCGGCGGAACTTGCGCGGATGTAGGTGACGGGACATACACGTGTGCGTGCACTGCGGGTTACGCCATTGGCGCTGCTGTCGACGGTTCGCCAACGTGCATCCCTGCGGCTGGACTCGCGAAATCCTATGTTACTAACCCTGGCGACAACTGCACATTTGTCGCGACAGCTTTCGGCATTTCGACCACCACACTGACAAACCTGAACACTTTCATTAACTGCTCCGATACAGAATACCTCCCTCCCGGAATCTCACTTACAGTCTCCGCCGCACTTACTTCCTTATCTTCATACTGCACCACCACATACACCATCCGATCTTCCGACACTTGCAATTCTATAGCAAACACTTTCTTCAACGGTTCACTCACTTCCCTTATGGCAAGCAACCCTGGCTTGTCGTGCAAGCGCTTGTTCAAGTCGGAGCAAATATGCGTGCAAATGGTTTCCGCATCGTCAACATCGTCAGCTGCACAATGCGGGCAAAGCGTTGCCGTGGTCATGGGAGACACTTGCGCATCAGTTGCCATGAAATATTCTGTTGACAGCACAACATTTGTCTCGTAAGTTCTTCAAACACATCCCACCGTTTGCCTTCAGTTTCTTCTCTCCCTATCTTATTCACCACCGTTTCCCATCTAAAATTCCCCCTAGTCCCCCTCACTTTAACCCCTTCGTACCCACTGCATGTCCACTGCTGTGTTATTTATTCTTTCAAAATTGTTACTGGCAATGGCAATAATATTTCCCGATTATTTAATATCCTCATCAATGCTGGAATCACTCTCTACTCACTCAGTCCAGACTCTCCTGCTCCAATCCCGCTCTTGCTACTGTGCAGGCTCAACCCAGGCGTCAACTGCAACAGCAATCTTCCTGTCGGTTCCTTTGTCTGTGTGGCGCCAAAATCATCTACAGTAAGCACCAACATTATGTTCCACCTTTCTAGTTTGATAGAGTTTCTCCTCCCATCTGAATCCTGACTCCCTGTCTTCGAATGCAAGTACCTCTTCCCTCTCCTCTCCCAACCCCCATCCCCTCCCATCATGCCTCCCTGATCCCTTTGCAATCTCTCTGTGGCTGTCTGCAGACCACCATCAACTGCACGGGGTGGTACCGAGTGATGCAGGGCGACACATGCCCCTCCATCTGGAATGGAGCTAACCTCACCATATCCATGTTCCTCACCATCAATCCTGGTATCCAGGTAACTTTCCAAAAGCTTCCCACACCACTCCATAACACCCTTCATACGAACCCATGCCTCTCCATCTACCCTCCCCATCTCCTAAACCCTCTCTCCCCTTGCACTACTAGGGCCCTTTTACTCGCTCGTTCTGTCAATCCTCCACCCTCTGCCACTGCCAGCCTCTGCACCTTTCTCTGCCTTGCCATCCCTCCTTCCATTTGCACTGCCTGCCTCCTTATCTCCCTCTTCCTTGCCATTTCTCCACTTGTGCAGTGCCAGGCGCCCTACCTGGTCGTGGGCCAGCAGGTCTGCATCGACTCACCCCTCCTCACCACCATGCAGCGAAACCCAAACGCCAACTACTCCATCTACACCGTCCGTGCCGGCGACACCCTCTCCACCATCTCCACCCAGTACCTCCGTCGCTGCACGCGTCTCTCCGTATCTCCCGCTTCCATTGCCGCCCAGAACTACATTGCCGACTTGTCTGCCCCACTCGCAGTCAACTCCAGCCTCATCATCCCCTGTATTGGCGGCATCGGTATGATTGACGCTGGCTGTTTGCCGTCGCTCACCGTGTGCGGGTCAGATTTCGTCTCGTACCCGTCGTACTGCCATGCAGCGGTCAACTATGCGCTCCCCGTTATCCAGAATGCCCCGTGTGACGCCTGTGCGAGTGCCTGCACTGGCCGCATGGGGCTGGCGCCTTCCGGTTCTGCCTGCACGCAAGCCATCTGCCCGTATCCAACCTGGTTTGCATCATCAGACTGCACTCTAGCAGATGTCAACACTACTACAGGACCCTGCTGTGCTTACCGAAGAATTCAATGCGACAAGCAGTGCAACCTAACAGCAGAGACTGCAGGCGGCGATGCCACGAAGAAAACGGCAACTTACAATGCGTGCATGGGCAATTGCCTCTGCTGCGGCATGTTCCCGTGCGGGGGGTCCTGGACGTGCAATACATGGAACAACGCCTGCTATAAGACCACACCGCGCACTTGCACATTCAACATGGCAACTGGGTACACGTTCATCTGTAGCTATTACCCTGCTGCGGTTCCCATACCTTAAGATGCTGGCTGTAAGGGCTGCCTGTGGGAGCCGCCGTCTCTTCTTCCGTTGCAGCTTGCCTGGCTGTTGAAATACACTTGCTTGGGGTGCTAGTGTGCATGGGGTGGCTAAACCCCAATTGAAGGAAGTTGGCATTGGCCTCACTTCACAAAGAGACTACTGTTTTGCTCATTGTTTGTTGATACAACCTCTCATTCTTTTATTCCTTACACTATTGCTGAATCTCCAATGCAATACTTTAAATGGCGTCCCTCTTCTTGAACCATGGATGGGTCAGTGGTGCCTGTGGCATAGCATGTGTAAACCCTGAGTTCCATATGTTAGTCAAAATCAAGATTCTTGAACTTGAGTTTACCAGAAACCATGTTACCAGCTGTGTAAGGAATTTCGCTAATTCCTTACTGAGGCAGCTCTTACGCGTACAATTCCAACTTTCGGACTTCAGGCTCGGTCCGTCGACCTCGCCTTCCGAACGTCTGACGCGCCGCCTTCGGGTTTTCCAACCCCAAACCTGCACCCAACCTTCGCGCGACTCCGCGACCTCGGCCTAGCTAGCTTTGCTATATTGCGCCTAGGCTGTCAAACATTATATATGTTGTGTTTGTTTAGGCTACAGTGGGTTAGCCTATAGGGGGTACACAATTCTAGGGTTAGGTACTTGTACTGATTTCACTGTTAGTTCAATCATTCCTGTCCGTTCATTCTGACATGGTATCAGAGCAGGTCCTTCACTAGGACCGTTTTAGGGCCCACCGCTACCTACCTACCTACCTACCGTGCGCCCTCGTGCGCCCTCGCGCCCTCGTGCGCCTCTTACTACCGTGCGCCCTCGTGCGCCCTCGCGCCCTCGTGCGCCTCTTACTACCGCGCGCCCTCGTGCGCCCTCGCGCCCTCGTGCGCCTCTTACTACCGCGCGCCCTCGTGCGCCCTCGCGCCCTCGTGCGCCTCTCCCTACCGCGCGCCCTCGTGCGCTCTTGCGCCCTCGTGCGCCTCTCCCTACCGCGCACGCACGGCCTGCTAGCCACCCGCGCGCGGCCCGCTTTCCGCGGCGTCGTCGCCAGCCCGCGGCGTCGTCGCCTGCCCGCGGCGTCGTCGCCTGCCCGCGACGTCGTCGCCTGCCCGCGGCGTCGTCGCCTGCCCTCGTCGCGTCGACCTGCCCGCGGCGTCGCCACCTGCCCGCCGCGTCGCCCTGCCCGCGGCGTCGCCACCTGCCCGCCGCGTCGACCTGCCCGCGGCGTCGCCACCTGCCCGCCGCGTCGCCCTGCCCGCGGCGTCGCCACCTGCCCGCCGCGTCGCCCTGCTCGCGGCGTCGCCACCTACCCGCCGCGTCGCCCTGCCCGCGGCGTCGCCACCTGCCCGCCGCGTCGCCCTGACCTAATCCGCCTCTCGCCCCTGGAGCAGCCGCCACTGCAGCAGCAGCCCCTGGAGCAGCCGCCACTGCAGCAGCAGCCCCTGGAGCCGCCCGCCACTGCAGTAGCAGCCCCTGGAGCCGCCCGCCACTGCAGCAGCCCCCCCTGGAGCAGCCCGCACCTGCAGCAGCCGCCCCTGGCCCCTGGAGCCGCCGCCACTGCAGCAGCCGCCCCTGGCACCTGGAGCAGCTGCCGTCGCGGCCCGGCCTCGCCCTGCAGCAGCTGCCGCGGAGCTCCCTGCTGCGGCCCGGCCCAGCCCTGCAGTTGTAGCGGCCCCGCTGTCGCCACCGTCTTGCGCCTGCCGCGCCGACCACTGGTGAGCATTGCCCAGCACTGCTACCGCTGCTACTGCTGCTACTGCCTTTTCTACTCCCACTGCCACAGCTCCTGCTGTTACTACTGTTGCTGCCGCTACTGCTACTACTGCTGCTCCTGGCGTGCCCAGCAGCTCCAGGGCCGTGCGCGTGAGTCCCTCACGCCCCAGCAGCTTCGTGCGCGTGAGTGGTACGCTAGTTGGGGTTGTCGGGGTGGCCGTAGTGGTGGTCGCTCTGGAGTGGGTCGGTCGGGAGCTTCTGGTAGTGGACAGGTGCAGCTGCCGTGCCCTCCTTCGCCCCAGCTGCTTCGTGCGCGTGCGTGGTACGCTAGTTGGGGCTGTCGGGGTGGCCGTCGTGGTCGTCGCTCTGGAGTGCGTTGTTCGGGAGCATCTGGTAGTGGACAGGTGCAGCAGCAGTGTCCTCTTACGCTCCAGCGGGCTCGTGAGTGGTACGCGAGTTTGGGCTCTCGGGGTGGTGGTCGTGGTAGTCACTCTGGAGTGCGTCGTTCGGGAGCTTCTGGGCGCGGACCGGTGCAGCTGCCGTGTAGTGTGAGTGAGGCTGCCGCTCTAGGTGCTAGTGAGACCGCCACTGCAGGTGCTCGCGTGTCTGCCACCTCAGGTGATGGTGAGGCTGCTGCTCTAGGTGCTAGTGCGTCCGTGCCCGCTGGTACTGAGTCGACTGCAGCACTGCACACCTTCACACTTGACTCAGGTGCTTCTCGCTGTTTCTTTCGTGACCGCACTGTCCTTGAGCCACTCGCTCGGCCAGTTGCTGTCTCCCTCGCTGACCCCTCTGGGGGTCCGGTCGTTGCGACCTCCTCCACTGTCCTTCCTTGTCCTGCGGTCCCGTCAGGCACACTGTCAGGTCTCTACCTCCCCTCGTTCTCTACGAACTTGGTGGCGGGTAGTGCGCTCCAGGACAGGGGTGTCCACCAGTTCACCCCTGCTTACGAGCGCGTGACCCACTGCACGTGTGCTCGGACAGGCCGTCACCTGGCTACCTTCACTCGGCAGCCGGGGTCGGACCTGTACACACTGACCACTGAGTCCCCTCAGGTCGCTGCGTCCGCGTCTGCGTCTGCGTCAGGTCAGCTATCCGCCCCCTGCTCGTGTCGCTCTCTGGCGCATGAGACTGTCCTCTGGCACCACCGCCTTGGTCACCCGTCTGTGCAGCGCCTTCGGGCCATGCACAAACGGGACCTTGTTGCTGGTCTTCCCAGGGTTCTCCCTCCCCTCCCACCCTCGCCTGCTCCTCCCTGTCTTCCCTGTGTCGAGGGGCGGCAGCGCGCCGCTCCTCACTCCTCCTCCTTCCCCCCGACGACTGCTCCTTTGCAGACGCTCCACATGGACGTGTGGGGCCCAGCCCGCGTCCGTGGTCAGGGTAGGAGAGGTACTTCCTGATTGTTGTTGACGACTTCTCGCGCTACACCACGGTCTTCCCCTTGCGCGCCAAGGGTGACGTCCCTGATGTCTTGATCCCTTGGATCCGCAGATCTCGTCTCCAGCTCAGTGAGCGTTTCCGCTCCGACTTCCCTGTCCTGCGTCTGCACTCTGACAGAGGTGGGGAGTTTTCCTCTGGCCTCTTGGAGGCCTTCTGTCAGCAGGAGGGCATTGAGCAGTCGTTCACACTTCCGGCCTCTCCACAGCAGAATGGGGTTGCTGAGCGCCGCATTGGCTTGGTCATGGAGGTCGCTCGTACCTCCTTGGTTCATGCGGCTGCCCCCCACTTTCTGTGGCCGTTTGCAGTCCGATACGCTGCGCATCAGCTCAACCTCTGGCCCCGTGTCTCCTTACCGGAGACTTCTCCGACACTGCGTTGGACGGGAGAGGCTGGCGATGCGTCGCGTTTTCGGGTCTGGGGATCTCGAGCTTTTGTTCGCGACACGTCCGCGGACAAGCTCTCCCGTCGCGCTGTCCCCTGCGTCTTCCTTGGCTTTGTCCCGGACGCGCCTGGTTGGCAGTTCTACCACGCCACCTCGCGTCGTGTCCTTGCCTCTCAGGACGTCACTTTTGACGAGTCCGTCCCCTACTACCGCCTCTTCCCCTACCGCACTGCCCCGCTCCCCCCCCCCGCCTCTCTTCCTCGCTCCAGGTGCTGAGGTACCAGACCCCCTCCCCCCTCAGGGTGCCGCTCCCTCAGGTGTGTCCCAGGTAGACCCGGTTGAGCCTGTCGAGGTAGCTGTTGACTCTCGTCCTGCTGGGGGTACTGAGCCTGCCCGTGAGGAGTCTGGGGGTGCGGAGCCTGGGGGTGCGGAGCCTGGAGGTGCTGAGCCTGGGAGTGCGGAGTCTGGAGGTGCTGCGTCTGGGGGTGCTGCGTCTGGAGGTGCTGAGCCTGGGGGTGCTGAGCCTGACCGTGCTGAGTCTGGGGGTGCGGAGCCTGGGGGTGCGGAGTCTCGAGGTGCTGAGCCTGGGGGTGCTACGTCTGGGGGTGCTGTGTCTGGAGGTGCTGATCCTGAGCGTGCTACACCTGGAGGAGCCCTCTCCTCCCAGCAGCTGCAGGAGAGGTACCTACAGTACTGCCGCCTCCGGAGAGGTGCTACTGGAGCTCGTACCAGTACTTCCCCTCCTACCCAGGAGCTCCCCCCCATTCAGCAGATCCGAGAGTGGTACGCGCGGCGCTGTAGTCTTCGGAGTGGTGCTCCTGGTGCTGCGGACCCCAGCGGTGGCGCTGCTGCTGGTGCTGAGGACCCGGGCGTTGGAGCTACTGCTGGAGCTGAGGACCCGGACGGTGGAGCTGCTGCTGGTGCTGAGGACCCGAGCGGTCGAGCTGCTGCTGGTGCTGAGGACCCGGGCGTTGGAGCTACTACTGGAGCTGAGGACCCGGACGGTGGAGCTGCTGCTGGTGCTGAGGACCCGAGCGGTCGAGCTGCTGCTGGTGCTGAGGACCTGGACGGTGGAGCTGCTGCTGGTGCTGAGGACCCTGCCGCTGGTGTCGCTGCTGGTTCTGGAGACGCTGCGTGGCCGCGACCGTACTTCGTACCACTTCTTCAGCAGGTTCTTGGTCAGGCTCCTCCTCCTTGTCCTCCTCCCTCCGTAGCGTGTCCTCCGCCTGTCCAGTCGCAGTCCCAGTTCCCGCCTGCCTCGCCTCTCCCTGCTCACTCTCCTTATACTGGTCCCACAGGAGGTCTTACAGAGCGTCGTGAGCCTGAGTCTCGTCCTGCGTCGCCTGTTCGTACTGCTCGCACTGGTCGTCGTGTCCCACGTGAGCGTCCTCCTTCTGTCCCTGGCACTCACTACATGACTCTGCGTCCCTCCACTGCTCCTCAGCGTGTCCCGCT